ATAGCCGAAAGAGACCACATGAGGAGAACAGAAGCTATGGCTACTATGAGCACCGTGAGGAGAAGAGGTAAGCAAAGCAAAGCTCAGCCAAAGTAAAAAGATAAATATGCTGAGATGTTCAAGGCCCATAATCTGAGGCTCTTCTCTGCAGATCTCGTACACCACAACCTCCGGCTGAAGACGAAGAAGAAAATGTTGACGACACCATAGTAACAATTGATACATGTAGGTTATTTTTCTTGTTAACAGAAAACCGTTTTAAGATTTGTGTCATTTAATAATTTTTTTTTTATTGAAACAGACCTGAACTTTTTTTCTGTTGATCACATGATGGAGCTTTTCATTTCCTCCCTTCAATATTTTGTAGCTTTGCAGCATTAACTTGAGTGTTTTGGTAAGAAATGATGCTCCTTTCACAGAAAAACAACTATTTTTGAAATATTTTTTAACTGTCTCCTCAAGGTTTACTTTAGAGAAGTCTGTTCAATTATGTTTTAAATTGCAGTTTATGAATATTAACTGTTAACTTTTTTTTCAAAGAATATCAAATGAAGGTTTAACAGCTACTGGGTCTGACCTTATAATCTAATTGAATGAGTTTATGGTGTCCAAAAAAAACATTTGCATTACATTTCCTTCTTGTTTTTTCCCCCCAGACAACTGCGATCTGCACTTCAAAGTGTCCAGGGATCGTTACAGTGGTTACCCATTGACCATCGAAGGTTTCGCTTACCTGTGGGCTGGAGCTCGAGCAACTCATGGTGTGACTCAGGGGCGTGTTTGTTACGAGATGAAGGTAGGTTACAGTAAAGCAGCTTCTGTTGGCCTTAAATATTGCATATTGATGTCTGAAGCATGAATGAGGGGCCTGATAAAAGGATGCCATTCAGTCCTTTACAAACCGATTTATTGATATTTCACACTGATTTTTGCTCACCAGTACATTAATTTAGTTTGAGTTTACAGCCATGCATAGTACATCAACACTAAACCAACATTCCTGCGGGAATTTTATCATGTTTTAAACCCAAGATGATAAAATTCCAGCAGGAATGACTTTCTGTTTTTTTTTGTATTTCTAATACATTTTCTGTGCTTAAAGGCTCAAATATTTTTAACCATTATAAGCTTTTAAGTATCTTTATCAAATGCTTTGTTTTTCCATCTATTTACACGCATTTATGTTTTTCTCAGATTAATGAAGAGATTCCTGTAAAGCACCTGCCCAGCAGTGAGCCTGATCCCCACGTGGTCAGGATTGGATGGTCCCTCAACAACTGCAGCACTCAGCTTGGTGAGAATAGCGACAGTAAACGTAGCTGATGGCTGGATACTTTACTGATGTTTAGCATTTTCACACAAGGTTTGGGTACACTTGAATTATCTGTGCAAGGATTTAATTCTGGCTACATATCGGAAAGCTTATGCACATTGTAAGTGGTTACAAACATTTCTCAAAGCACAATATAAAATTATAATTGCATATATTGAAGCACATCAATGGTTATTGCTGTGAAAATTTGTACTCGTGAGAAAAAGAGGACTAGCGACAACATTGGTAGCGAACATTAGCTAGGCAGTGGGTTAGTGGTTTACTGTCAGCCTGAGCGTGGCAGGTGAATGGGTCTGATGGAAGGCGGGGTTTCTCCTTAATGATGATTCAGTTATTGTTTATTTTTCCTCTCTCGTAGGCGAGGAGCCCTTCTCCTTTGGATATGGAGGGACAGGGAAAAAATCCAGTGACTGCAAGTTTGCAGATTTTGGCGAAAAGTTTGGTGAAAATGATGTCATCGGCTGCTACATAGTAAGTCAAATGTTAAAGTCACACCTTAAAGTTATTTTTATACTTCTGCTTTATTCTTCATAAGGAGTAATAAAAGCTGAATTACTGATTTTTGTTGTAGTTTATTGTTAAAACAATGATTTGTGAAATAGCTGATTGTTATTGAATACCATAACTTGTAGGACTTTGAAACCAGTAATGAAGTAGAGATGGGCTTCTCCAAGAACGGAGTGAATCTCGGCGTAGCTTTCCGGACAACCAAGGAGGCGCTGGCAGGACGCGCCCTTTTCCCCCATGTGCTGGTGAAGAACTGCGCTGTTGAATTCAACTTTGGGCAGAAGCGGGAGCCCTACTTCCCCCCACTAGAGGGATACACCTTCCTCCATGATCTTCCTATGGAGGAGAAAATAAGAGGCACAAAAGGGCCTGCCAACAAATCGGAATGCGAGGTAAGAGATCGTTTCCCTGGAGTTTGTCAAATATTCATTTCTGATAAAGTGTTTTAGAGAAGTGATGGGGTTAAGCCCTAAGATTTAGACCAATGTGTGTCTGATATATAGAAAATCTGGCAAAAGTGCTGGCATACGTTTGATTATTTATGGGTATGTTTTGTATAACTTATGAGCACAGGTATCAAGTAACGAAGTAAAAATACTTCGTTACTGTACTTAAGTACACTTTTTAGGTATCTATACTTTACTCCATTACTTATTTTTCCTCCTACTTTTGACTTCTACTCATTACATTTTCACACAAGTATCTTTACTTTCTATTCCTTACATTTTTAAAACAAACGTTACTCGTTACTCTTGGCTTCAGTTTAAAGCACAGGTCACAGATTAGTGGACTGCGATGTTATAAACAACATTAAATCCAAAGGTTTTGTTCGAGGTAAAGCTGATTTATTTGTTGTAGTCTCTTGTTATTCACACACAACAATAAACAG